AAGGACCAGAAGGTGATTATTTTTCAAGACTAAATTACTTGAGAAGCACAGCTGGAACAACTAACATTCAACATGGCTGTGAATCATGCACAATCAAACAAGTAGTATCATAAATACCACACAAGAATATAAACAATTTCCTGACAAACTTATAATGATCAGCTTCATAAAATGCGAGGACAGAGAGAAAGGAGAAGCTTCACATTAATCAGACACCCAATTATAGTGTATCTGCACATTCACAAACTATAGTGCAGCAAATATACTCAAGAATAGATATTTTAACTAAACAAACTAATAAGTTGGGACAATACCCAAATTTACTATGTGCTACTGTGTAGCTTCCATTATTATCAAAAAGGAAGCCATAATACTTTCCCATGCAAAGCTGCTATTCGCCAAAAAATACCGGTATGATTTACCAAAACAGCACTCCATAGAGTCAAATTTTCAGAATTCTAGGGCAAGTAAAATGTCTACAGTATGTGAATGGAACTTCTTACCACCAAAGGCTGAGATAGGTAATTAGTGTCACTGTATATGCTGCCATGCCATTTGCCTGCCATAAGACAAAACATAACTCAAAATTTGAAGTGTATTAACTGTAAAGTAATCATGGAGAAGTCTTTCACCATGTCACGAAAACAAACAATAGTGAAATAAACTAGCCACAGTAACATTTTGCAATTCAAGAATTCACATTATAACACAGACCACAGGGAAAATTTCCTGTAGAATTATCATCAATTACCTTATAGACAGGCCTGTGTCCAGTAGGAGATATCGGTCCTTCAACCCTTTTACCAGGCAACAAAAGCTGAAGTGTAGCCTCAAATAGAGCATAGCAAATTATTATTTTTCCCGCAATTGCAGTGGGTCTTGGCCAAATGTCAATTAGTCCTTGCAGGCCATTCTCCTTTAGATAATTATATGTTTGCAATACAGATCCATCAGCATGAACATTTGTATACCACCTGCATGTAAAACATCATATTTCCAAGATAAATCAATTACATAGATTCATGTCCTCATTAATAGACTATTCCGCGAACTGAGCAACTAATAAGCTAAACCAGCCCAGTGAAACATTAACAGACTTCATGTCGTTTGGATCCATTTATCAACCTTGCTTTCTGTACCAACTTTACACCATTCACATGTCTGAATGTATAGTTTTTGTTATAAAACTGGAATCTTTATCACTTCCCAGTTTCATTATTACTCCCTTTTGTCTATGTAGTCAAACTAACAATGGTCTCTGGAAAGAAAGCATTGAACCATACACAAGAAACTACTCCCTCCCTGTATTCTCTATAGATTTCCACTTTTACTTTATCACGTTTAACGCATCTCCTATTTTACCATCAACATTAATTACTTATTTCCCAAATCATTTCCCAACCTAACACTATACATTATTCATGTTAATTTTCTTAAGGAGCATGCGAAGTCCAAAGTGGACAATAACCATGGTAACAAGGGTTTAAATTACAATAGAGGCAAAAACACAACAATTATTTCTTCTAATTTGCGTAAGCCTTGGTCGATAGAGTTACTTTGAGGTACATGTGAGGTGGTAAGAACACCTCCATTATTTAAAGATGCTACCTTTTTACCTTCTAAGAAAAATCTCTAGCCCTTCTAATGACCCAAATCATATAAAAAGTATACAAAGAAGCAATCTTGATAAAAACCCACAAAAGAAATGAAAAGTCCTCTAGAAAGTAGTATAAAAGAATCAATCTTTATAAAAACCCACATAAGGAAAACAAAAAGTCCAATCTTGAAACACAGAAACAAGTATAAGATATGTGAAATTGATAGATTTTAGAAGTAAAGAGGATGAACTTACATGAGAATAACAAAAGGGGGTACTAAAGTGAGCAGAGTGATCATTGAGATATAGGTGAATAAAGGAGGGTGAACCAACTGAGACTCCGCCATTGCTTCTTCCTCCCTCCCTGTTCTCTGCACCTCTTCTTGTTTTTGAAAAACTAAAAGATAACTCGGCCACTGCTAATTTTGTTGATTATAAATTACACACACGCACACTGGACACTGGTAATCTTCCTTGTCGTATACTGCTAACGTGGTTCTCCAACTCTCCGCTGATTCTTCTATATAGAAGTTCACTAATATAGCACGTGAGAGAGTAGGTTGCCTGGCGTGCTGCAATCACAATCAGTAATAAAACATTGCAATATTTTCGTGTCCAGCATACTGGTTACTATTGTGTTACGTACCAATTTGTTAGTTTGATTTTGATTCGTCACTGTCATTGAATTCTAAAAAGTAAAAAACATATTTTTTAAAAAAAGAAATTTTAAAGACTCCAAACTATCGATAAATCATATATCAGATGTAATCAAGTCTGTTTGAATTAGCTTATTTCAAGTGTTTTTAACTTAAATTAGTTTCGAAGCATTTTTAAAATGTTTTGAATAATTCAAAAAAGTGTTAACTTATAATTTACAAGTTAAAAAATCTTATGATCTTAAATATTTCACATAAAAATTAAAAATTTAAAGAACAAAGAAATAATGTCTTTAGTATATTTTAAAATCATAAAATTTATATATTTTTTTAAATTTTACGTTAAATTGAAATCGGACAAATAAATTTCAAATAAAAAAAGAAATAAGTGAAGTATGAACAACCTAACAAATTTATGCAGATGAGATGGAAAAGCCCAAGACCCAGTTTGGTGCCGTGTGTTGGCCCAACACCGATCACTTTAATAAAGGAAAAATTAAGTAATTAAGCTAATTTTTACTACTTAATTATATGTTATAGCTATAGACTTTAGTATTACCTCTGTCCCTGACTACTTATTTAATTTTTTTTATAGTTATCCCTAATTACTTGTCCATTTTGATAAATTAAGAAAGGATAATTTCTTTTACATATTATACCCACAATTAAATGACTAATTACTTTGAAAAATGTAGAACTTTTCATCCACTTCATAATTAATATGAATAAAATGATAAACTCACCACGTCATTAATTATTTTCTTAATAGATATTTCAATTCAAAAGTGGACAAGTAAAAAGGGACCGAGGAAATATTAATTAATTATATATTATAAAGTTGGGGGTTGTATGTTGGCTCCGGCGGAAACGTTCTCATTGTCACTATAGACTGAATTCGATGTGAACCTTTTCGATTATTAGTAGCGGCTCATGAAGTATAATTTATCCCTTAAAAGTTTATAATCACAAAAATTTCTCAAACGGATACAATAATATAAGCGCTGATACATTAAAAAGAGGATCTGATACATTAATAGTCAAAAACTCAAAGCGTTGATACGTTAAAAAGAGGGTCGAATACATTTATAACATTTTTTACTTTAGAGAAAAATGAAAACTTTGAAAATTTGTAAAACTTATAGGGGATAATAATAACAAGTAAATTAAAAGATGAAATTTCTGTAACTATACGATATAGATTTTGATCCAAAATTAGAATGGTTATTAAATGTATAGAGGTAATTATCAAAATGATCCTAATGTATAGAGGCTGGTCTATTTTGATCCTCTTGTTGATGTATTTCCCATAATAAAATTGATCTTTTATATGGAGTAAATCATAAATTAATGATTGGTGATAATTTTTTGTTAAATGTAATTAGCTATTATATTCACTCAGCTTGAATTGTGATAATAAATTGATCGATGGATAGACACTTCACTGTCTACACCTTTAAGTTGTAAGTTTTTTTTCTATTTGTATTTTTAAGATAATGACTTATTCATATTTGAGTATTTAAGTCAAGTTAATAAATAATAAAAAAAATAGGTAAAATTTGCTTTGTTCCATCTATTTGGCATTTTTAAAGCATGCCACACTTTTTTCTCACCCTATTTATCATTACCACTTACTCCATCTTTTGCCACAAAACTTTTTTTTTATGAAAAATCGCATAAAACATGAAAAAACAAAATATAAAAAAATAGAACAAAATTGATATCATTATTATTGAAACCTCATCATCAATAAAATAGTCCTTCATATAAAATCTTCAACAATTTTCTTTTTTTAAAAAAATGAAAACATGTGCTTAATGAAAATAAATAAATTTCATATATTCTATTTCAATTAGTTATTATGTAATGTCATTTATAAGTAAAAAAAGAAAAACAAAATGTTACGTATCACTTTATAATTTAGCTGATTGCTAAAAGAATTATTAACTATTCTTTATATTTATTAAAGTTCTTAATTAAGTAAAAAAAAAATAAACTATGATTTTTGTTATTTTCAATCCACAGGGGAGGATGAATTATTTAGAGTAAAAAAGAGTCAGAAGCATCAAAACAAAGTGGCCACTATAGGGTATTGGAAGCTTCAAATTTGTCCATGGCTTCTTCAGCATCACAATCTTTACCATCAAAAAACAACCTTATTCATGTATTCTGGGACGAGGGTATGCTGAAACATGACACAGGAAGAGGTGTTTTCGACACAGGAATGGACCCTGGTTTTCTTGATGTTTTAGAAAAACACCCAGAAAATTCAGACAGGGTTAAAAACATGTTGTCTATTCTCAAAAGGGGTCCTATTTCACCTTTCATTTCTTGGCACCATGGACGCCCTGCTCACGTCTCTGAATTATTATCTTTTCACACCCAAGGTACCCAACTTCAACTTCCTTTTCAAGATTCTTTTTTTTTTTATTTGCTTTTGTTCTCTAATTGAGTTTGATTTCTATCTGTCTTTGTTGTTCCTATTGATTTTTGGAGTGTAATCATAATTTTTTGTTAGGTAGCATTAAAGATTAGATTTAATTTTTGGTTTTGTTTCTGAAGGTTAAAATCAGCATCTATGAAGACCTAAGTTAATTTGTTAGACTATTGGGAAGTGAAAGACACAATCTTTTTGGTAAAGATTGAACTTTTAGGCATTTCTAATTTTAAGACAAATGCGCAAAAATTAAATTAGTATTGTATAATTCCATGCCCAAATTGTCTTATTGTGCTTAATAGCACAAGTTTTGAAAATAAAATCAAATATCAATGGGTGATAATGAAGACCCATGGCCTAGGCTGGTAACCTCCATTGCACTTAGGAGGGGTGTCCGCCTACGGTCGGCCCAAGTGGTCAAGCCTACGTCGTAGTTTGTGGCGGAGGGGCCTGCGTTCTAGCGGCGCCTACCCTAATCTAAGTGCAATATTTGTTAACTTTCAGAGAGTTTCTAAAATTGGATTTATTCTGAGCTGCCAAAGCATGGATAGCACAATCAATATGGTTAAAAAGAATGAAATTATGGAGAAAGGAAGAAAAGATAGCACGTTATAACAAACTTAATGGATTGGTTGGTTTGAAGAAACAAGAGGAAAGAAGGTGTTGATTATATTAAAGGAATTGGAAGAAAGGAAGGGGTTGATTGGTTCGAAAGAACACGAGGAAAATAGGAGTTGATTTTTTATTGAAGGAATTGAACGGAAAAAAGGGGTTAATTGGTTTGAAGGAATAGAAAGAAAGTAATATAATGCATGCTTAATTTCAAGTTGGTGTTGGTTATAAATTCAACCCTATTCTGAAACCTATTCTTATTTCAAAATTTAAGCCTCTTAGCTTTTTCATTTTTAATTTGTCAGAATATGTAAATGAACTAATTGAAGCTGATAGAAATGGCGGAAAAGAATTATGTGGAGGGACATTCTTAAATCCTGGGTCATGGCACGCTACACTTCTTGCTGCTGGTACTACATTATCGGCTATGAAGCTTATAATTGATGGACATGGGAATGTCGCGTATGCGTTGGTCAGGCCACCTGGTCATCATGCACAACCTACTCAAGCTGATGGGTATTGCTTCCTTAACAATGCGGGTCTAGCTGTACAACTGGCTTTAGATGGTGGCTGTAGGAAGGTTGTTGTCCTTGACATCGATGTTCATTACGGGAATGGAACAGCAGAAGGATTTTATCATTTTGATAAGGTTCTTACTATCTCCCTTCATATGAATCATGGTTCTTGGGGCCCCTCTCATTCACAGGGTGGAACTATAGAGGAGCTCGGCGAAGGTGAAGGTTTTGGGTATAACCTGAATATACCATTACCAAATGGAACCGGGGACAAAGGGTATGGCTACGCCATGCAACATTTAGTTGTTCCTGCTATCGAGAAATTTGAGCCTGATATGATGGTTTTGGTTGTTGGGCAGGACTCAAGTGCTGTAAGTGCATTATCTTATTGCCGTTCAGATTTTTGTATTTTGTAATGAAGTTCAAAGACATTTGTGGAGTGAAGTTCATTAATCAACGCAATGTCATCTTTAAAATGTGAAAAAGGAATATCCAAACTTATCAGTTGGTGTTGGCCTTAAACCCACACAGTTTGACTTCTGTAATTTAATTTACAGATAATTGCTTGGACGTTGCGTTTGTTGTCGATTGGATAATGCTATCATGTTCTAATGTTGCATAGTCTAGATCTGCAGTTTGTTTCAACTTCATTTTGACAAGTTAAATTTTGTTTTGAGTCAAATTTTCTTGTTATATTAGATGTTCTGTCAATTCCAGTTTGTCAGTGTCTAAACATCCTAATCATGTTCAATGTCTAAAACATTTTCTCAACTGATATTGTATCGTCATTGTTTAGTTCATAGAACTATTGTGTATTCTGCTAACTCAAGAAACTTCTTTCACTCGGCTTGCATTTCAGTTTGATCCAAATGGAAGACAATGCTTGACAATGGAAGGTTACAGAGAGATTGGGCAGACAATTCGTGGCATGGCAAACAAGTATAGCAATGGACGACTCTTGATAGTCCAAGAAGGCGGATACCATGTTACATATTCAGCCTATTGTCTGCACGCGACTCTTGAAGGTGTGCTCAATGTTTCAGACCCTCTATTATCTGATCCTATCGCTTATTATCCTGAAGATGAATCATTTCCAGCCAAGGTAATCGATGCTATCAAAAAATATCAAAGAGAAGTTGTACCTTTTCTTAGAGATGCTTAGTTGGTATCTCATTTCGTGTTTGCTTATGAGCTCAAACACTGGGCTGGCTCGTTTGGTGCGAGGGATAAGGAAATAGTAATGGGATAAAAAAAAATGTTTGGTTGCCTTGTTTGGAATAAGTTATCCCACCGTTTAATCATAGCGATGGAATAAGTTATCTCATATACCTGGTGGGATAAGTTATCCCAGATGAGCCCTATGTGGGATAGCTTGTTTCTAACCAAACAACCCCTTACGGTGTCCCAACAAGTCTCTGCTCAGTACAACAATGTAATTTCATTAGTGGGGTCTGACGGTATTAAATGTAAAAATTTCCCTTAAATAATAATTTGTTAAATTGTATTGAGAAAAAGGGATGCTTGTGATAGATGACTAGAGATGGAAGATTCATAGGAATTGAAAACAATAGTACGTCTTTAGTTGGCTGACGAAATTTGAAGAAGACATTTCACCTAATTTTGAAATTAATATGTATTTTTTATGATTAAAAATATATATATATATCATTACTTCAGTTGCATGCAGACGTAGAGGAATTTGGTCTTTTTCAATTAATTTATACATATTTGATCACTTTACAATAATTCAATTATAAATAAAAATACATCTACATATAACTAAGCAAGATACATGCTTTTATATTTCCCTACTCCTTGCATTATATGTAAATTAAACTTACTAATCTAGTATCATGATAAATTGATAAACAATTGTTGTATTAAAAAAATTAGTGTGTGTCTGTTAAACATTATCACGAGAAGACAACTTTTTTTCCCTTCGAAGAAAGGGGACATTGTTATCCATTATCTAATATTTTCTTCTTTTCGACATATCTTTAGTTCAAACTTGTTTAAATAAATTAAAACGAAAAAAAATAATACGTGACAGAAAAGTCACAAGAAAATTAAAGTAGATAAAAGGTTTATTTAATGTGGGATTGAATCAAGTAGTTAAAGAGACGTGAAGTGCCCGTGATGGGTGGACTTATATTTTAATACAAATGGTCCAACCTATATGCTACAACATTAATTATTTCCCCACTCTCTTTTCCAAAGGCTACGGACTTATTTATCAATTTATACTTATTGTGTGTTTCACTTTTAAAAAGTTTTAATCATTGAATACATTATATTTTTATAATTATATAAATACAAAATTTAATATATAACGGTACTGAAGAAATATTGTCTAAATTGAACCCGTTACACATATTCTATCTGATTGCGTTACCTTTCACTTTGACTAGATTCATTAAGTCAGAATTTAACTTAGAAAGTCATATTTTGATTTGAATTTTTTGAAAATGTTTTTGTTGAGAAAGCAACCCTATTTTTCATGTTAAACTGATAAAAAAAAACATTTTTAAGATGATTAGATTCAGTAACAAAAGGTTAGTGACTAACTTTGATTTAATTAATTATTTCTCTCGGTCTTACCAGAAGAGAGATATGTTCAAGATATACGCTTTTTAAAAGATGATGTTTAATTTGGACCCAATTATAAAAGATAGTTTAGTACAAAAAATATCACATATTAGCATGGTTTATGGATAATGTCACACTAAAGAGGCGACGTACACAATATAGTATAAATATTTATATTAGTGGCTCTGCTTTAACAACTCGAATTTATAACCTAATAGATCACACAAAAATAATTTTATCTTAAACCTCAAATTGTATTACACAACTTCCTATATTCATTTATCTTTACTATATGTATGTTCATAAATTTTCAGATTTATTAATCGTCCTTCCATTTAGTATGTTTTATATGAAAATTGTGTTGTTATTTCATATTCAAAGGATAATATACTTTCTAAAATAACCTAAATAAACTATAGTTGGATAAAAAGATTTCCTCAAAAGAGGTTGTAACTTTGAAAAATGTCTTTCTTGCTAATTAAACGAAATTGTGTAGTACTCCCTCTGTCCGGAATTGTTTGTTATGTAGCGTTTTTTAAAAGTTATTTTGATTAATTTTCAAAGTCAAATAAGATCACATTAATTCAATATTTTAAACAAAAAAATCGATATTTTAAAATTATATGAAAGGTACTATAAATTATTATTTTTTGCATATTAATATGATGAAAAAATACATTCTAAATGTTAATCAAATTTTTTATAGTTTGATTCTAAAAATAGAAATCATGACAAATAATAGTGAACGGAGGGGTATTTAACTCTTTCTAAACGTTTTAAAGCTAAATTTGTGTGCATTGATTGTTAACAGTAACTTTTGTCATCTTAGCTGGTCCTTTTATTACACATTGAATAATGGATTCAATAAATTTACTACTATATATCATATTTTTCACGCTCTATTATTAAAAATGCCACTAGATTTTCAAAGGCAATTTTCAAATCTCAAGTAGATTATGTGAAAACTAAAATAGATGACCCTCTTTTTTCGATCAGAAATCTCAATTTTTAACTTGTATATTAAAAATATTTTTCTTAAATTGACGTCATGAGATGAGAATTCAAATCAATAAAATTATAAAACGTCAATGCGTGATGAAAAAACTAATAAATGCCAATAATGTAACGTAGAGAAAATGACAAAAAGGAAACATGTGGGCTGACTTGCCGGTTTGAAATTGTTGACACCTCAAAATTGATTCGCATGAAAACGTAATAAAAACAACAAAAAAAAAGGGCCATTTGGTCGAATGTTGCACTCATCATAACTCCTCATCATATCCAAAAACAATACCACCGACACAGCTATTTCTTCATGTAATAATTAAAAATCAAACTAATAATTTGAATTTGAACTTAACGACTCAAAGAAAGATATTTTTTATTTTGTTTCCATGAAATTAGTGTGGACATGAGATTCTGAAGATCTCACTGTCCATTTAATTAAATATATAATCAAATTCAAAAAAAGATTTACTATAAAAAGAAGGAAAAAAAAAGTAAAAGAAGAAAAAAAAAACAGAATTGTGAGAAATCAAAGGACAAAAGGAGAAAAGAGAAAAAAAGGTGTCATGAATTTGTACTTTGTCTTTAGGGTTTGATCCACAACTGTTTAGCTTAACTCATCACTCTTCTTCTTTCTATCTTACAAAATCCACTCACATTATTAAAAAAAAAAAAAGGGTATCATTTTTACAATTTATAGTTATTATGTACTTGAATCTTTGTATGGTACTGTTATGTACTTTGTTCATTTGG